CCCTACCTAATGGTAGCATCTTCTCTGTTGCCTTTCCCAGGATGAAGGAGCAGTGATCTCCCAGAGTTCAGACATTTCTAATAGGGACGGCCATGCTACCGATGAGGAGAAACTGGCATCCACTTCATCTGGTCAGAAATCAGCCGGGGCCGAGGTGAAAGGTGAGCCAGAGGAAGACCTGGAGTACTTTGAATGTTCCAATGTTCCCGTGTCTACCATAAATCATGCGTTTTCATCCTCAGAAGCAGGTATGGAAGTACATATTCATCTTTCTAATGTACATAGCATAGAAATGTCTGAAAGCTTAAAGCTGAGACGCCTTAGAGAATTTGGATTCTGATCTAAGCTTTGCTTCTTCACCTAGAAAAGAGACACAAAAAGGGTGTCTTATCAAATACCAGGGACATATGGATTAGTGTGGCAGGATGTACTGGAGGCACTAATGTGTGGGACTGCTTGAAATTTTTTATAATTTATTATAAAATTATAATAATTTTTAATAATTTATTTTAATGTGGCCATACCTCAAAGTATAGTGGCCTTTAACCATGATGTGATTATTGTGCTCCTTGTTCAACTTACAGAAAATAATAACTAACGTGTAATTCCTTACCATGTGCAGGCATTGTTCTAAGTGCTTTACATGTATTAACTCACTACTGTTTGCTACATATTATTTTTTCCCCATTTTTCAGAGAAGGAAAGTGAGACACAGAAGTTAAGTAACTTGGCCCAGGTCACTTGTAAATATCTAGTAAATGGTAGAACTAGGATTCAGACCTTAGCAGTAGGTTCCATGGTCTTTTAATCTCAAAGCTGAAGTATAAAGAGCTTGTTTTCATTATACTAGACCATTGGTCGGCAAACTGCGGCTCGCGAGCCACATGCGGCTCTTTGGCACCTTGAGTGTGGCTCTTCCACAAAATACCACATGCGGGTGCGCATGTACAGTGCGATTGAAACTTCGTGGCCCATGCGCAGAAGTCAGTATTTTGTGAAAGAGCCACACTCAAGGGGCCAAAGAGCCGCATGTGGCTTGCAAGCCGCAGTTTGCCGACCATGGCACTAGACCATTATAAATTGTCCTGCTCACAGATGTGGTAGACTGAAATTAACCGATGCCCTATAAAATCCTTCTTAATGTCCAAATAAGAGCCTAGATAGACTAACTTTCTTGCTAACCTTCTTGCTGTTGGACTCTCAGAACATTCTAGAGCAGAGGTCCTCCTTCTAGGTCCCAAGTTGTATCTGTGACCCTAAACTTGACTTGTGAAATGTTTAGAACCATGTTCCTGACTATATTAAACATTATTTAAAAAATCAACATAATTTAATTGGGCGTTTTTATACCTAGAATTTAAGAAATCATCATCTCTCATCAAACGAGGGAAGTGGGTGGAAATCAGGACTTTATTATTCTTCCAGCCTCCTTCCTGCCCCCAGGTCTCAGTTTTTCATCTATAAAATAAACGTGCCAGGCACTATTCCAGATTTCTTCCCAGGCCTCTTTCTGCTCTGACTTCTTTCCCAAGACTTCATTTGCCATTTCCCGTTATACCACCTTACTCAGTTAGGGGGGCTACACTTATTTCTCTTATTTGAAATATCTTTCTTTGCCATCTCCTGTAGAAATTCTGCCCATCCTTTTGGGTCTATTTCAAAAACATCACTTGGCTCCCACCATGCTTTATGCTCCCAGCACATTTCTTCTTACTGTTCGCGTTTTGTGTATTCATTATAGAAGGGAGCTTTGATAAGCTTCTCAAGGTTAAGAACTATCAGTGATTCATCTTTGAATTTCCTTGGCTGCAGGTGCATAAGTAGATATTTGTTGAATGATATTCTTCCTCACGTGGAGGAAATTCCTGCAACAGAAATTTGTAGAGCTGGGGTTCTGTTAGATACAGTGCTGTCCTCATAGTGGGTAGGTAGTATGTCACTGTGTGTAAGTGATTATCCATATCAAGGGAGAAGCAGAGGTCATGCGGGTGGGAGTGTGAGGTGGACGGGTGTACTGACCCTGTCAGGTGAATCAGAGAACATTTACTGGGGAAAGTCACCTTGGAGCTTGGTGTTGATAGATACAGACATAGATGTGCACCAGAGAATGAGCGTCTCTCTCAGGGTTGGGAAGGAACCTGCCATGTGGGTAAAATGCCCAGTAGCTCTGTGAGGACAGGGTAAGTGGGAAAATGAAGTGGTACTGAGGATTTGGGGCTTGCTTCTGTAGGTGGAGGGGAGCCATTGAAGGTTTTTTCTTTTTTTTTAAAATACATTTTTATTGATAGGAAGGGTGAAGGAGAGAGAGAAACATCAATGATGAGAGAAATTCATTGATCGACTGCCTCCCGCACGCCCCCTACTGGGGATCAAGCCCGCAACCTTGGTATGTGCCCTTGACCGGAATGGAACCCAGGACCCTTCAGTCCGCAGGCCGACACTCTATTCATGAGCCAAACCAGCCAGGGCCATTGAAGGTTTTTAAGCAGAATAGTCACATTTGTGTTTTAAAAATAATTCATTATAGACAGAATATGCTAAAATAATAATTTGTTATTGCTTTGTGGGAGATTGTAGTCTTATAAAATTTTAAAATATTTTAAAATTGTCTTCAGTCCTGGTCATTGTGGCTCAGTTGGTTGGGCATTATCCTGTGCACTGAAGAGTTGCCAGTTTGATTCCCGTTCAGGGCACATGCCCAGGTTGCAGGCTCTATTTCTAGTGCAGGGTGTATAGGATGTTTCACTCTCTTTCTGCTAAC